CCGTTCACTTTAGATAGGATGTCTACTAATAATCAGGACGAATATGAAGCATTAATTGCGGATTTAGAGTTGATGATGGATATGGAAATAAAGAATGTAATTATTAGATGCGATTCTCAATTGGCAATTCACCAATTGATTGGTGATTTTAAGTGCCGAAGTGATTCCATTAGAAGTCAATACGAAATTGCCCAAGAATTGTTGGAAGAATTTGACTAAGTAGAGCTTCAATGTGTCAATAGAATGTATAATGACATAGCAAATGAGTTGGCCCAAATGGCTTCAAGTTATTCAAAAGCTTTAAATTGGGAATCTACTTCTGAATATGGAGTAATATTGCCCGTAGTACAAATGAGGGCAAGAAGGATCGCAGTTCATTGCATACAAGATGGAGATTATTCAAAGGTTTTAAATTGGGAATCTACTTGTGTATGGAGTAATATTGTCTGTAGTCCAAAGAAGGGGGAAAATGATCGAAATTCATTGCATACAAGATGGAGATGCAATAGATTGGAGGACAGAGACTAAAAAGTTCTTCAAAGAACCTAAAAAGGAAAGTAGTAGAAAAATGAAGTTGCATTCGTTGATTTATGTATTGATAGATGAAAAGTTATTTAAGAAACGATCAGATGGTATACTACTAAAATGTGTGAGTTTGCAAGAAGCAATAACGATCATGGCTGAAGTACATGAACGGATATGTGGAGCTCATCAAGCTGGCCAAAAGATGAGATGGTTGATTATTAAGAGTAGATATTTTGGCCCAAAATGGGAGAATCATGTGTTCAGTATGCAAAGAGTTGTTTAGCATGTCAAAAACATGGTCCGATACAAAGAGCACTAGCAAGAGAATTGACACCCATTATTAAACCCTGGCCATTCAAAGATTAGGTGATAGACCTGATACGGAAGATTTATTCCCCATCGTCCAAGAAACATATATTTGTAATAGTTGCAACAGATTTCTTCAATAAGTGGGTAGAAGCTATAACTTTAAAGGAGATTTCCCAGAAAAAAGTCATAGATTTTATCCATGATCATATTATTTATAGATTTGGGATTCCACAAACTTTGATGGTGGATCATGGAACTTCCCTGATAAAGATCAAGCGAAGGAGTTCTTGAGCGAGTTTGGAGTTAAGTTAGTAAACTCCACGCCGTATTACACTCAATATAATGGACGGGCATAATCTTCTAATAAAATTCTAAAAAATATCATAAGGAAAATGATAAATAAAAATGCTAGAAATTGGCACGAATATTTAAACAAAACCTTATGAGCTTATAGGATGTCGCCTCGTTCAAGTACTAAAATTACTCCTTTTCAACTTATTTATGGACATGAGACTATTTTTCCTATGGAAATTAATGTGCAATCAATCAGAGTATGTTTGAAACATAAGTTAAGTGATGGTGAGTATGCTGAATAATTAACCCAAAACCTATTGGAATTGGATGAATTAAAGTTGGACGTCCTAGATAGATTACAAATTCAAAAATAAAAGATGGCTAAATAATAAAAAAGTTATAGCCAGATCTTTTAGCTTGGGCGAATTGGTTTGGAAAATAATACTCCATTTGGATAGTAAAGATCCAAAGTATGGCAAGTGGTCGCCCAATTGGGAAGGGCCATATAAAGTGAACAGTGTATTGCCTAATGGAGCCTATCATTTGGAAGATTTAGACGGTACTAAGCACATGAGATCCATTAATGGCAAACACTTAAAAAAGTATGTTCCTTCCTTATGTGAAAGTGAACAAATAAAGGCATAAATAAATAACAGTGCTAAGCAATCATGATTAAATAAAACAAGAACGAAATACGTTCAAATAAATTCTTTTATTATCAAATACTCATTACAAATCATGAGATACAAAATACAAGATGCTATATTAGCTGCAATTGGGAGTATGTTGTCATCATTCTTCTATCAATCACAAAGAAAGGTGGAAACTGGCCTTGACCGCCTTCCAATTGCATTGCTGTAATGGCAGGCAAAAGGCTGAGAAGCACTCTCAAACGGCCTTCCTAATTGTATTGCTGCAATGAAAGGTAAGGAGGCTGAGAAGCACTCTCAATAGGCAAAGTGGCCTAAAAATTATTCGTAAATTGCTTTCCATCAAGAACTCCCTCTGGAGAACATAAATGGAGACGCTGAGAAGACCTTTATTGGCCAAAGAACATTTCCTATATCTCCCATACCAAATGTGACATCAAGGCAGACAGCGAAATGGACAACAAATCAAATAACCAATTTCTGTTGAGGGAAGAAATAGGTAGCTAATTATCTGAAAAGCCAACGATGGCAAATAAGTTAATTTTTGTAGAGGACGAAGATAAAGTTAACAAATGTATAACATATGCGCTTTTATAGAGGTATGAAGTTGAAAATGCGGAATATGAATTTCACAAAATCTTGGAAAAGAAGATTGGAATGCCAAAAGTTTTGCTCCACATAAAAATTCCATGAAGGGGAATGTACACGAGTTTAGCATAAGCTAATAAAATGCTCGGGGGGTTGACGATTGAAGAATACATCAATTAATACGCAAATAAATCAAATAGTCGTTCGTTAATGACATTGGCTGTTGTTACATTTAAGTAGTTGCCAATACAAAATTACAAAGAAAATAAAGGCATCAATGTCTTGATTGCAATTTGCCCCAAGCTGAACACATTTGTTCCCTGAGTTTTCTCGAATCCTCACTTTGTTTAGAAGAAACAACAAACAATTCAGCTGCAACATTCTCATCAACCTCCAGCTTGGTATAACACTCAACCAAAGATTTGGTTCGCTCAATTCCCTGAGAAGTATTGCGCTTTTTAGTAGCCATCGTAGCCTTGCAGTTGTCCATCATTGCTTGAATTTCCTTCATCTCTGCAGCCAAACTTATCATCAAGGAATCTTCAACCATAACATCATAGGAGATCTCATTTAATTCAGCATTGGCTTTATCAATCTCTTGAAGTAAGGACTTCTTTTCAGATACATCATGAAGATACTAAGTACTCCTGGCCTTCAATTCGACATTTTTGGCTAACAAAGAGATGATTTCAGAATGGATAGCCTTCAATGTCACCTTAAAGTCAGGAGAAAAGTTGAGGGGTGGAAGTTTAAGTGCTTGCGCCAGTTTCACGCTCAAAAGCTCAAATTTATCTTTTTGTCTCACAGCACTATTCTTGCCAATATCCATGTCCATGAAAGAAACGTACTCAAACACTGATTTCTTGAGAGTCTTTATATTTTCCTCTGAGAAAGCAGAAGATGAAGCAGAAGGACGATCGGTTGAAGAAGGGCAAAATGTCTTTAATTATCCCCAAGAAGTGAACAAATCCCAGATAGAGCGCACGATGGCATCCACATCCTGTGAAGAAAAATGCAAGTATTTAGCATTTTAATTGTAGTAAATGAAGAGAAGAATGAAGTAAATGCTACATCATCAGCAACTTTGGAAAGTTCAGGCATGTCGCTGATTGATTCAGCCACCTGTGGAGACTTCCCCTTATCGGACGAGCAGACTCTGCCACAATGGGCAGATTCATGGGAACCTCTGTAGAATTTAAGAAACAATGAATCAAAGGCCAGTAGTACAAGTAAGGGTAACGATATTAAGATATGTATTACCTTCTGGGTTAACACTTAGGGGGTCAAGGCCCTGGGAAGGTAGCAGTTCTCCTACTAGCTGTGGTAGGGACTCTGGGACCATAGATTTCTCTTGAAGCAGAGTTTCTGCATCAGATGACTTGGACGAAGCAGTTTAAGTAGGAAGTGATGAAGTAGGGGCCGTTAAGACTAGAGCCTTTGAGGGGGAAGGTGAACTCTTCTGAAAATTCAGGTAAAGCGTTAGCCTATGAAGAATAATTTGGTGCATAAATAAACAGGCTCAAATACCTTTCTCCTAGCGATGAGAGGAGTATCATCATCATCTGGCAAAATTGGCAAAGATGGGTTTGGCCATTTACGGCTGGAGACACTTTTGGTTGCGCTATCTCGAGCATGAGAAGAAGTAGATGGAAGGGCCAAATGTTTAGTGGGAACAGGTGAAGAATGATTCCTAATGGACATAGGGGTGGCTAGAATGGGAGAAGTAGAGGAAGTGTCTGGCCAATCCAGTAAATGGAAGGCACGATTAGCATTAGTTGTAAACAATCTGCGTTTCACGGATGGCCAGAGCCGATCAAAGAGAGGATGAGTGACAGCAGTAGGATTAAAAGGAGTTAAAGAAAAACGTTTGGTCAAAAGAGTATTACGGGCATCAATGGCTTGTGCCTTAGTTTTATTTATAGTATGGAAGCGTTCTATTAAGTTTCTAGAATAATCCAAATAGATATCGAAAATAGTTAAAAATGCGTTAGACGTGAGTTTTAAAGAAAGACGTTTAACTCGCATTTTCTTTAAAAAAAATGCAATTATTTCGTTAACATTTATTATTTTTGCAATACAAATTTCTCAATGAAATTTTCATCATTTTATTAGAAAATTTTATATGGAATATGACATAAATTTTTTCGAAATTTTACATTTGAAATTTCATATCCCGTGTAAATTTTCGAATGTAAAATTTCTTTCAATTTCTTTGCAAGTTTGATTGTGCCCCCAACTTTTAATTTCTGCGACCGCCCCGACAATACTCGAACAAAAAGGGCTTCTTCCAGAAGAGAACACTCCACCAAAGTTGACTTTGATGATTTTTAATAGAGTAATCACGTGTTTCCCTGCCTAACAAGTACAAACATTTAAAATTGATAAGCATAAAAGATGTTTAAAAAAAATGTGAAAAACAGGTAAGATTCTACGGTAAAGGAGAAATTTGCTATTACCATGTGCAAAATATATATTAAGAAAGTGAAATTTCCAATGTCAACTACAGCTACCATGCTATTTCTTTCTTGTATAAAAGGATCAGTCCCTCCCATTGTAATGCATACTTGCTTATAACAATCCTATACTCTTCCACTCATCCTCCAATAAATTTCCAATTTTCACTTATTTTACAAGATGAAGGTCCAGAGAGAGAAAAGATTTGCACTACTAATGGCAGCAAGGGATTCAGATTACGTGAAGAAAGTGTATGGTGGATATTTCAATGTATTTGTTGAAGCATTAGCAGGTGAAGGAGAGAAATGGGACTTGTTTCGTGTAGTCGAGGGAGAATTTCCTGACATGGATAATCTTCAAAACTATGAAGGATTTGTGATCAGTGGAAGCCCTTATGATGCTCATGGGGATGAATATTGGATTCTTGAACTTTGCTTTCTTTTACAAACATTATTTACCGTGCAAAAGAAAGTTCTTGGGATTTGTTTCGGCCATCAGGTATATAGATATATATATTTGATGAAAATAGAATACATATATAAAATGATACTTAAATTATGAAGGATAAATTGCTTATTTTGTTTCACTTTTCACTCATAATTATGGTTCATTTTTCAAGGTTTTGTGTAGAGCTTTGGGAGGAAAAGTTGGGAAAGCATATAGTGATTGGGATATTGGAATAAGAAAGGTTAGGTTTACTGAGGATTTCTCAAGTAATGGCTCTTTTGATTTGGCAGAAATCCCTCCCACTCTTTGAATCATTGAGTGCCATCAAGATGAGGTATATATCTATTCTTTTTTTTAACACTGCTCACATGTTTTTAGCATGAGTTTGCCAGCGTAATTTTTTTTTCATAATTTTGTCCAAGAAATATAACAGGTTGTGAAAATAATTGACAGGTCTGTGAACTGCCTGTGGGAGCACAAGTTCTTGCATATTCTGATAAAACAGGAGTAGAAATGTTCACATTTGGAGATAACATTCTAGGAATTTAGGGACATCCTGAATACACAAAAGACATTCTTGACAATCTCATTGATCGTCTTGTGTGGAATAACTCCATTGAGGTACACGAACCATATATATTAAATTCTAGTTACTGGTTTTAAAATCCCTAGGCTGCTTTTTTTTTTTACTGCTACATGTACATTCATTTTGTACATTAAGTTTGACATTTATGATGTGTCAAAATCATGACCTTTGAAAAACACTTATTCAAATCAATGCTTATGATTTTAACACAACAAAGGATGTCAAACTATTGTACAAATAAAATGTACAACTAGTTTAATTCATTTTTTTTCGTAACCTGCAGCACTGAACCCTTGGTTGACAGCTAGAGCAAAATTTTCTTACATCTTACGACGCGAGTCTTCTATTATTTAGAACTCCAACTATGCTTAAAAGAAGAAGATTGTAGTAAGCCGACACCTAACATTAAACTTTGTTACTTCTCCAGATCTTTTTTTTTCCATTCATTGCCGATCAGAAGGAGGGGTTACCCAAAGTTGACAGTCAACGTCAAATTTTGCCACATTTTATGACATGATTCCATTATTATATTCGTATCCAATTTATTTATACATATCTCGTTCATTACAGGCACGTGCAATGCAATAGTCAATTTAACTGCAACAATTGTCTTTCTTTTACACTGTAAACTCATTTTTGCTATATGTTTTGACCAATTGCAGAAGGGTTTTGCAGAAGTAGCCAAGTTGAAGTTAAGGAAAGCTGAAGTAGATAGGAAATACTGGGAAAGGATTTGTAAGAGCTTTCTGAAAGGCAGATGGATTACTCAGTCACAGACATACTTTAGATGACTTTGCTTCGTTATTCACTGTGTATGCCTTTGTCTAAACTACCAAAGTTTTAGCCTTCAATCACTGTACATTTGTCTATTTTGATAAGTGAAAACTGATGTCCGGGGCAGTAAATCATTAACTTGTTTAATAAGGTGTGTTAGTATAGGTAGGATAGTTAAAAGGTCAATAGATCACGATTACTTGAATTACATTTCGTCAACATAAAGAAAGCTAAACCAACAATACTAGGAGCGATACTATTTCTATTTCCAGCCACAGAATTTTTGATGGCAGGTAGAATAATGATTATTCCGCAGGCTAGTTCTACCAGCAAATTCATAGGGAAGAACACGAGATTAATGCCGAAAACACAGAGAAAATGTCTCTGAAGTTTGAAGAATTTTATTATATCACGCAATAATCAAAATAAGTCCACAAGTCGGATTTTATAGCAAAAATCCGAATTTTACAAAAAATTGCAAAATTTCAAAAATCACGCCAAACAAAAATACGGAATAACATAAGTAGTATGAGAAAAATCTAGCCCAAATCGGGTTAAAAATCATATCCTAACATACAATCAAAATATTACAAAAAATAGTAAAATTTAACTAAAAATAACAATTCGTAAGGGAAAACAGTGAAATTTGAGGTTGAAAATGGCACACACGGAGCAAAGCTCGATGTCCACGACATGCGAACTGAAACAAGCTTTTCGGATTGTGGTCATAATTGTTATTCTGATAACCGTAGCCAAACTTATGGCCAAATTACCAAAACAAGACTCAATTACCAAAGTTACGCGATCACTTGCTATCCTTGCTCCGGTCTGCCAAACTCGTGATACTTAGAGCCATTAACGTATTATCTGACAATTCAGCATCTGACTCTAACCCAGTATCCCCTTTTTGTCGAGCTACTATAGGACCTTAGGCATCAAACGCATTTGAACCTTAGTGCTATGTTTAAAACTAACTAGCAAACATGCTCATTGTTTTATGTCAAGTCAATTATATGTTGCTACTACAATCACATCACCGATTCTTTAACATAAAAGGAAATATTGCATGAGAAGATTGGAATCGTACTCTTAGAAGTCCACATGGCAAGGAATAAGACTTACCCCTACAAATATTTTTAAACATGTAGGAAATTTATGCATGAGACATTCAACGATGTTAGGTAAGAAAGCAATATACTACTAAAGCCCTCTTGAAAGCCAATAAGAAAAATTAAAATAAAACAAAATAAAAGATTTTGTTTGTAATTTCTCTTTCATCTTCATAACAAATTTTCTTGCATCCCTCTAAAAATAAACTGCAGTACCATTATGTACTTGCATAAGCCAAAAGCACAAGTCTAATAAGTGTAATGTTAAAGCACAAACATTTGTATCCTCCAAAATTCATGTCTAGACAAGACTGTCACCATACTTGGTGAGAATTATATACAAAGTTAGATGAAAGAAATAATTATAGGGAAAACCTGAGATGCCTATGACAACCGTAAGAATACAATTAATATAATTACTCTATATAGCCCATCCCAAATTTACTGGGAATAAGGCTTTGTTTATAGTTTGTTTGTTGTAATACAACAATTCAATTATTATCTATTTTCCTTTTCTATAAAGCATAAAATGACAACAGTATGCAACATTAAATATATTGAAAATATTGCTTAATTACTGTCTCTCATTGTTCTCATAAACGAGGTGCGACAATCTTTGGCATTTTGCACCCCATGAGAAGTTCAAACAGGAATATGTGGAAGGATAAATAAAATGTGTATAGAAGTTGCTATATTGTATGTTGAAATTTGCATTCGATAAACATGTAAAGAAGACGAAAAATATTCTATCAAGTCGTCCTAAGGACAGCTTCCCACTTCTCAGGATAGACCAACTTGTGGATTCAACTCCCGGACATGAACTTCTTAGCTTCATGGATGCATATTCTGGATACAATCAGATCACTATGTTCTCAGTAGATGAGGAGCATACATCCTTCATCACAGACAAAGGGTCTTTATTATTACAAGGTCATGCCCTTCGTGGAAAAACGCCGGAGCTACCTACCAAAGACTTGTCAATAAAATGTTCGCTCACCTTATTGGGAAAACTATGGTGGTTTACGTGGACAACATGTTGGTGAAAAGCTTAAAAGAAGAAGACCATGTTAAAAACCTCAATAAAGCATTCCAAATTTTGAGAAGTTGCCGGATGAAGCTCAATCGTTTAAAATGTGTCTTTGGAGTTTCTTCAAGAAAGTTTTTGGGCTACAACGTCAACCAAAGAGGCATTGAAGCGAACCCTGAAAAGGTCAAAACATTGAATGAAATGTAGTTACCTCAAAAACCAAAAGAGGTGCAAAGCCTCATTTGACGAGTAGCAACCTTGAGTCGCTTCGTCTCAAGGCAACAGACAAGTGCCTACCTTTCTTTAAAATCCTCAAAGGAGGAAATAAGTTTCAATGGATAGAAGAATGTGAAGTAGCCTTACAAAGGCTGAAGAAGCACTTGGGATAGGCTCCCTTCCTCTCCAAAACTAAGGATCATGAGCCATTACAGTAGTACTTAGGAGTGACTTCCGAGGCTATCAATTTGGTTTTCATAAGAGAAGAGAACGATCACCAACTACCTGTTTACTACGTCAGTAAAGAACTCTTGGCAGCAGAGACTCGCTATCCAGACATGGAGAAGCTAGCTCCTTCTTTGGTGACAACATCAAGAAAGTTAAGACCATATTTGATGAGAACCACGTAGCAACGAACACTACGTAACCCACAACAAGATTGAAGATCCCAAGAAAGCTCAAAGAATTTTCCGATTTTGAGTTTAAACCAAGAATTAATGAACCAAGCAATCAAACAAAAAGGAAGTTTGAATGACCTTCTGATTATACAACACGTGATCCGCACTCGGTGTTGAACGCCACAAGAATCGTCTTGATAAGTTCAGAATGTTCTAAGAAAAATAATATTTGAAAAGCACAATAACCTATCGAATATATCTCAATAGTAAATTTGTCAAAATATTCATACATTGAATAATAAAGTTTTATTTATACTAATTGCCAGAAAACCTAGTAAAAACGTAATTAGGTTACAAAATATTGTAAAATTGGAAGGAAAATAGAATTCTAGTCTAACAAGGAAATTCGCGAAAAAATTAAAGTTCTCGCCAAATTGTTCTCGGCATATTTATGTGCAATTGCAAGCTCAAAAGTACCATGCGCCCATGTAATGTAGTCATGGTCAAAAATTTGACAACCTTGTGTAGAATTTCATGCCATTTTCGGAATGTACTCATGGTAAAAAAATCTGACAATTGAGCTGAAAGTTATGTCCATTTTCATCCATGCTGTTCGTTTGCTGCTTGAATCGAGTTGATCCATTTGGTTTCTTTGATCCATTTGGTTTTTTCTTCTGAATCTAACATGAAACTTGTTCCTTGACTTGTTAACTTTGAAACTTCGTCCACCATAGCTTGAGTAAGCAATCTCGTTACCTCTTTTACCCACTTTGCTCTCGAACGTATCATCGGGCCTCCTTCGATAATCAACGGATCTCGTCCCGGGCTTGTCCTCGTCGGGTTCAACTTCTGGATCATATCATCCCCTCCCTCTTCAAAGGATTCATCCTCGAATTTGCACCTATATCGAAAAGAGAGAGATCAGACACATTAAACGTTGCTGAAACATTATACTCACCTGGAAGATCTAATTTGTAAGCATTGTCATTGACTTTCTCCAACACTTGAAATAGACCATCCTATCGTGGTTGCAACTTTGATTTCCTTTATTGTAGAAAGCGTTCCTTTCTGAAATGTACCCAAACCCAATCTCCTAGTTCAAATGTCACACTTTTTAGACCCTTGTTTGCTTACAATGCGAAATATTTGTTTTTACTTTCAATTTGCGCCATTACCTTTTCATGGAGAGACATTACCAATTCAGCTTTTCTTTTACCATCTAAGCTACATCGTTCATTTACAGGCAAATTTATTAAATCTAAAGGTGTTAGTAGATTAAAACCATAAAAAATTTCAGATGGCGAAAATGTAGTAGAATGCGTGACCATATTGTATGCAAACTCTATGAACGATAAACACTCTTCCCAACTCTTCAAGTTCTTATTGACTATAGTGCGTAAT